GACATTATTGTGTATATGGCTTGAGAATGTCTGGGTCTCCAGAATTCCTGTTTCCTTTGTAAATAAAGCCATGTTGGAATGTGGTGGGAGGAGATTAATTTTTGATGTGGTAGTTCTGGAGCCATCATTTGGAGCCATCTTATAATTAGAGGATTATTAGACTGAACATTTGTGATTTTATTTGTTTTATCTGACCACTCATCAAGATTCTGACCACTGTCCACTATAGATAACAGGAATAAAACTGGGAGAAATATGCACACAACTCTTTGTAGACAGTTTTATCTCCAACTGCAAACCTAAACTATAATGATAACAGTCTCCCCACATCAGCTTTGTAATTAAACTCATCCAGAATTTTACTTCAAAAGCTAAACTTGTCAAAGATATGTAAAACTGTTAATAAAAAACAAGCTGTGTTTAACTATTTCATTGTCTTTTTGTGGTCATTTTGACCTGGGACACAAATACTTTTCCAAAGTGAACATAAAACAGTCATCAAAAAGGCTCCATATTTCTTCTAACCACTGTGTTCTGTATATCCTTGAAAACACCAGCCGAAAATGAAATAATAATTTTATAGCAAAACATCATTTTTTCCCCCTATTATAATCATTACTAAACTATCCAAAAAAGTTTACACATGTCAAATTATATTTAATTGACCATGTGTTTTGTAGGAACTTATTACACAAAAATGTATAAGATTCAAGATAACCACTTTTAAATGATTCATACCAAATAGAGTGACACCCCACTTTCTTTGATGAATTAGAAAGAAATTTTTAATAATTTCTTTCGTAATAAGAAACATTGATATCAATATGTATATAAATGGACAAACATTTTTTTCCTGGGAGTTTTTCTGAACATGTGGTAAGTGTTAGATAATATAGAGCTGCTTTATGCTAAGATAAAATTCTCACACAATTAGTCTCTACGACAATTACTTTTAGTATTTCCAGTAATTCCTGTTAATTATAATGCTGAACATCTGGGTTAATTTTTTTCTGCCGTGTAGCCCTGTATTACCTACATTGTGCAAACATATGCTGCTCATACAGCTGAACAGATTCAAGTCCCGTTAAAAAATGGCGGGGCTCAGAAAGCTGCTGTAAGTAATTGAATTTGTATGTAATGTTCCGTAACTCTCACCTCATGCTTCAGATGAAAATTTATTACAAATACAGGAATGTCCACCAACTTTTGATCCAATGAAAATTGGGCTGTAATAATCTATAGCTAATTTGTAACAGTGTAATTCTAATGACCTGCAGAAAACTGGTACAAATAAATTTGCCATTTTTGACAAAAAACATTAATTTTCATATAACTTTCACACGATATCAAAATCTGTTTCAGTTAAAGCTTAAATAGACTACAAAAGCAAATTACAAACATTTTTGTGCAAACTTTCTACAACATGTACTAAATTTCTTCTAGAAAACGAAGAAAAGAAATTAACCTGATGTTAGAATAACGTAAAATAATTGGTAGAAAGTTTAAGCAAGTGTAGATTTCATGAAAACATGTATCATATTGTTTCATAGGTGGCAAATTCTGCAGTAATGGTATACTGATTACTGAAAAACACATCAAAGATTTGCCAAGATGTATTGAAGTCATTAGGTGGCGCTTCATCCCCCCCATGTGTTTCTGTATAATTGCCATTAGAGACTGACAAATTCTGAGACTCTTTCCCCTAAAACAATCAAGTAGCAGTTGTAAAAAAAAATAAATTTCTGAAACATGCTGTCACTTTCCTCGTCTCACATTCCCTGTAAATATTTACCCCCCACATCAATTCTGCATTTTGCTTGGAAACCTATCAATGTTTTAGACAGTTTGTTGCCTATGGTTAAACATCCCTCCCAAAACTCCATCCATTCCTTCCTCATATTCTTCCATGCTGACAAATGCCCTAGGGACCAAACCAGGGTAAAAAAAACTTGCTAAAATGATTTTCAATCATCATAAGAAAAATAAAGTACATTTGTTTAAAGTATTTTGAAAACCATGTCATAAGTTTTGATTTTTATAGAATTTATTCCTCATTTACTGTGAATTTGGGAATTTTTTAAACTCTTTGAAGTGTGGATAAGTTTGGTTATTTTCCCTTAGGAGCCTCTTCTTGCTTATGACACTATTGATGAGCAGTGTATCATAGCTTAACTGACAGACAAAGTGATAGAATAGATAGATCAACATCACCATGTCAACAAGGTAAACAGAGGGGGTAGGCAGGGGGTCTAGTGGGGGGGGGGGGGATGGTAAGAACAGGAGAGGGGAGTAGTAGGGGAGAGGAATCTCCATCAAATTCTTGATAAGGCTGATTAGCAAAAGTCAATATTCCATGCACTTAGGAAGATAATAATAAGTGAAATGAAGGAAGTAGAGAGAACTGGATTTGGGATATTGAACTAGAATTTAGAAGTAATGAATAAACAATGGAAAGAAAGGGAGAGAATAAAGAATAGAAGAAAACAGTCAAATAATTGATGTATAGAGAAGGGAGAGATATACATAGGAGGGAGTGGGGTGGGGGTAGAAGTAGGGGTGGGGGAAACTGAGGTGGTGGTAGTTGTAGAGATAGTCAGGGTTCTTCAGCAAGGCTCAGTCTATCCAAAGTAAACACACAAACGTATCATGTTGTTGGGTGTCAAAGAAAAGAGAATACTTCCTGTTTCTGACACTTCATCTAAATGATGTAAAACCTCTCACTGTTTAGCTTGAACAATCTCTTTATAGTTACAGTTTTGGCACTCCTGAACGAAAACAAAACCTTTTCAGTCAATGAGCATTTTACACTTTCTGTCTTCAAATTAAAAAACCATCATTCTATCTTTCTAAAGTGTGTATTCATTCTGTCTTCACGAAGAAATCTGAGCCTCTGGCAAATACATCTGACCTTCTGGTGAAACCTGATCATGCAGTAACATTTTGGAACCAAGCAGAACCTTACTAAGCTTTATTGTGTGAATAAACAGTAAGACCTTCTCTTGTTCTCAGCATTAATTCTACATAAACCTCACCCAAAAATAAGCCCATATACATTTCAGAATCAGTGCCAACTGAATATTTCCTTCCAATTTCACCATAGCAACAATTCAAACAGTGCAAATTATGGAAAAAAAAATCCATACTAACAACATTTTAGTGATGTTTTCTGTTAAGCTCGTTAATTGTATGTTTTACATTAAAATATATCAAATTACACTCTGGAGTTACAGAATTGGCAATGTGTATTTAATATATAGTGTATTCCTAATTGACTTTACTCTAAGAGCCTTACCAATAGCGATAAAAACTCGGAATCGCTTGATATCTATGTACTTTTAAGTGCATATGTGCGCAATTTGGATCAGTTTGATGCTAAAAAGCCTTTTGAAATCTTCACATGTTCATCCTAGCAACCATGTGTGCAATTCAGCCGTTTTAAAACCAATCTCTTTGAAAGTCTACATTGTGCATCAAATTAAATAATGCATGCAATTTGGCTATTTTACACCCTTAACTCTTTGAAATTTTACATGCATATCCAAAACCACAAGTCTGAGAAAGTAGATAAAAATTCCTGTGGTTTTTCATATCGAGTCAATTTCAAGTATGGGATAATTTGCCAGACCATTAAGTCAAAACCTCAAGTCAACTGGACATGAAAGTGACAACAGGTGCCGTTATCGCAAGTATATATATCTATATATCATAGGATTCAAAAGAGATGAAATGTTTTGTGATGAAACATGGATGAGAAAACACTAATGCTTATAATCTGATGCAAAGCAGGCATAGAAGGGTCGTTTCAATGTTTAAATTGGAAAAGTGAAAGAAAAATTGTACAACAATAATTTTGTGTTGAATTGTGTTTTGTTAAAAATTAAAACAAATACTGAAAATGTTTGATCAGGAACCTCCAACTATCAAAGAATAAGAAAATAGTAGATGTAAATTGAAAGCAGTCTTGGAAACTGTGAGGATAGGGTATTGAATTAAACTTCAGGAGAGATGCTTATCAGAGCGACAAAAACACATGCTCTTAATTGTATCTGTCAGTATAGCCCACTGAAAGCATTTAAGTCCAGGCTTGGAAGCCATAAATTAAGTTTTGTGGTCTATTCTTTGAAATGCTATTACATTCCAGTTGGAGCATTGGTCAGCGGGTGGTGGCTATAAAATAGGTCTTGTCCATTAGTCTGGCCACAGTCCACTTCCAGAGGTGATTGGACCTTGTCCAGATGTACTGACCAGCTGTGATGTAACACTGTATGGGACTCAAACACAACTTTTCCTTAGTTCTAGAATCAGACCACGAAACACTGACAATGGTGTGCCCATCACGAACCATTCATGCTCAAATTCTTATTTTAGGAAATATTTTATGAGAAGAAAATTGTTTTCAGATATCAATGGAACTGAATTTCATTTTGACGAAACAAAATTATTAAAAAGCAATGGTTTCATGAGAAGTCAATGTGAGTTTTGCTAAATCATAACAATTTGAATTCAAAAACAAAGACAATAATGATTTTCAAGTCATTTGCTCACTTAGACAGATAACACTACGTTGCAGCTCCCAGGCGGTGGTGATGACATGTTTATCCATGCGCTCTGTTTTTTATTGGGTGGGGATGACCCCCTGAGTCCTGAACTGTAACCACTGCATGACCAGTAGCCATACATTCACGACAGGCAATTTGGCCAGACAGTTGGTCAGTCTATCAAGATGCCTCATATGAGATTAGACTGGATCAGTCTAAGATAGTGCTGGACAACAGATTTCTGTTATAATTACCTATGATGATGGTACTGAAGTTGCCCTGAGAATAATTAAAATTGGTTCTATTGTTTCTATTACATACCTTGGATTGGTACACTTCTGATACCACATTACTGAAGACACTTCAAATATTACAATAGTTTTGATTGGTGCATATACTCCTATATTGGTAAACTATCTGTAACAACTCTTTCCATTGGTCAATGTCGCAAACAAGACTTACCTTTCCTACTCCAGGTGTCTGTAATCGTCCAGCCATTCGTAAGAGGCATGGTGGGGCTGGGGGAGGGGTCATCCGAATGATTTCGTAAAACTTGGTCGGAAACGGTGGCGGTTCTGGCTCTGGAGGCTGGTGTAGCCGTTTCTTCTTTTTGCTCAACTTCTGTGCTGCTCTGGAAGTATAGAAATATCATACTACATGAATACCACATGAATACATCTTCTTGTCCTTTAGGCAAACACATCATTACTTCTTACTCAAAGGAAGGGGTGGGCTTATTAGCGGTCAGTCAAGTAGTGTTATGATTCAATACAATAATAATGTAAATAAAATCACTAATTAACAAGTAAGGGCTTATTGAAGGGGTAATACGGTAAGCCTGTTTTGGAAAAAATATTGAAAGGTCATGCAATCAATCAAATTTCTTAAGTACCCTTGGTGCATATTGAGTTGAATATCTGTCATATTTAAAATCTGTCAGAACTGGAAACTTTCCAAGATATCTCAAAACTGCTGACCAATGCAAAAAATAGTGAGAAAATTTTTAAAATACTACACAAATGTAAAAAGAAAAAAAAAGTGAAAAAAAATGTAAAAAAAAAAATCCTCATGATATGAATCAATAGTCATATTGCATTTTGTTAAATTGATGGCTTCAGTTTCATCACTAAACAGCATTTAGATATTGAGTAATACATGTGAGTGTTATGGTCCTCTTTTGAAGGTACAAATCTATGAACAGCACGAGTTGTAATAGTTTTCTGTATACAGCTGGTTTTGTTTTACCGGATAACAGAAAGGCTATTACAGTTAGTCTCATAAAATAAGCCAAGGTAAACATCTTGATAATTACTGGCAGAAATACGGTACAAGTAGGCAATATTCTTACCATCTTCTCTACAATTCTCTATAGTGTATGTTAACAGAACGGATTCATTAAGAGTGAAATATACAAACAACTCGGCACATTTTGTCTGACAAATATCCCTTGTCTAGGTGAATCAGATATTGAGGTGATCTACTTCTTTTGCCATCATTAAGTTGGAACCTAAAAGTATACATTTTTTTTATTATATGTTATGCTCTTTCATGACGAACATTCACAAATTCAATCACGTTGCACAATGCTTATACAAACTAAATACGAAATGGGGCAATTTTGATATCCCATTTTCCCTAACAAGATACTTCATCAGAAATAATGATATCTAATTAGCTTTATCATAAAAGAGTAATATCATATGAAAAACTGTCATGTTTCTGACAATTATGAAAAGGTTACTTAGCAACACCTTATGTACATAGAGAAAATTTCAAATTAAGCCATTGGTGTAAAATTTCAAATTTGTTTTGTGTTTCTAAGGAAGAAGAAAAAGTACAAAAATAAAATAGAAGACTATTTCAAAGTAGTCTTGTTGATGTTGATGTTTGAAAGATAATCTAATTGATTTCCATGTCAAATTTATATTGGAGTTCTGACATATTGGTAACGACCATGTATAAAAGCCATTTCTGGGTATATATACATGTGTGTGTAGATGTTTAATACATACAAAATGTCAGAATTTGACAGTAGATATGCATTGTTTAACAGTCAACATGTGTGATGTTCACCAATAAGAATCAAATGCACAAAACATGTTTGGAATGGACCCAGTAACTGACCAAGCAGGACTCTCTGCCCACTGATTGGCTGACCAGCTGTCTTGACTACCAGATTCCTCATAACCACAACAAGATAATTGGTTGTAATCACCAACCTCACTCACGGTTGGTGGCATGATACCTATGGTGTTCTGCGAAGGGAGATAACTGTTGCCTTATGTAACACTTAGATCATGAAAGGTGTAAGCTACCAGAGCCAATAGCCTGGCTTACACAGAAGACAATACTTCTTTTGTGTCTATCAATAAGTCCAACCCTGGTAATAAGCTAAAATAGAAATGTCAGCAATTGCTACAGACCATTGTCCAAATTACTATGTTTGGTAATAAGCCCACCCATATATATTGCACTTTCTGGAACATTGTCAGCAATTGCTAAATCAATCTTCTGAACTAAGACCACCTCTGTTATATGAGTCACGAGTTTTTGTATTTGCCATTTATACTTAGTGCAAGAATATCAACCAGTGATGAAATCTTTATATTTAAATTCGCATGCAAAAAAAAAAAAAAAAATCTTATATCTGGAAATCGACCTTAAACTTCAACATTGGGTCAGCTAGAGCAACCAATTATTGATATCTTCAACTTTTATCCATACAGCTTAAAAGCCATGTATACTTTGATGTATGCAGAAAAAATCCTCCAAGTATGACGTCATCATTCATTGACTTATCATTGAGAAGCTTTTAAAAGGTTATACCATCAAAGAGTAGACAGGATCCAGATCTCTATAAGCAAATCTTTGTCTTTGAACTTGTAAAATTATGATATAGAATTACAAATAATCTGTAACTATACCCAGCAATAAATTATAAGTAAATGAGATGAAAAAATATTTCTCTGACCTTCGTTTCAGGAAATATGGATTTCATGCGAGGTGTAACTAACAAGTTATTGATGTTTCTTTCAGTTACTCTCTAAAGTAAATACACATTTATTTGCTGAATATGTCATTAGTAATAAAAGTAGAATTTGTCTTTATTTCATCAAAAGTGACAAGAACAAAACAGCATTGTAGTCAGGCCATTTTGTATTGACAAAGGATCCTTGAAATATTGCCCTGTTAATGAAGGAAATACTTTTAACTTAATTGAATCTTTTCACTATGTATCAAAAGAGAGTAAAATATGACAGCTTTGGATAAACAAGGTCTTGTCTCTTCTCGTTAAAATATTTCCCTTGAAATATTGAATAATATCCTCACACAAAACATATCTCCCCTCTCCTCTGATAGCACATTTTTCTTCCAGGCCAGTAAACACGTTTCATTGAAATATGCTCATATGTATTTTTTGTTTGGTCATTTCCGCAATCAATCAATATACATACCAACTAAGTCTGCAGCTGATGCGAAATTCAATTAGCCCCTCAAAACAGACCAGTCATTTTTTGTGACATTATCTAAATTATTACATACACACTGGCTAATGTTGTCATTTCAACAGAGCCGCAGATAGATAAGTCATTCACATTCTGAAACTAATGGCCAGTTGGAAAGTAGAAACTTGAGTTTCATTGATTTATGAGACCGGAGTTTCCGATGAAACATTGAAACAACAGTAAAGATGCTTCCTTTGATCAACAAAAAATCACTTAATTATCACAGAAATGGATCACTCCATCGGGATTCTGTATTAAATTTTATGCCTCTGAGCGCAGAAAGTAGGCTCGAAATGTCACACTACAACATTTACCACCAACGTTTGATGTAAGCTTGAAAACCGTCACTTTGCGAGCACAGTGTATCTATTATGGCAAATCCCATCCTTTATCTATATGACCACACAATGGCACCTAATCATTGGGAAAAATGAGTGATTGACATATGGAACTTTTGATAGAGACTTTTCTCAACAACCGTTTTTTTATGTAGAGTTGTTCTGTCTTTTTTGCGATTGTGTCTGGAGATAGAGCATCGTAATTTTGTGTCGAGGATATAACGGAAGTGAGTTACATGATTTAGTGACTTCCAATCAAGATAGTTTGTACCAGAATCCATGGTTATTCTGTCCAAATTCTTATCTAAACCCAACATTAAATTGTTAAGCATTTGTGAGAGCTATATAACATAAATTTTTTATGACAACGTTATCTCTTATTAGCCCATAGATATTTATTTCGCTGATTCCTTCCCGCCATAAAGTTCAATGCATTATACAGCAAGCATTTTTAACATCAAGATGGTAAACTGTAGCTCGCTGAAGACGATACACATTACCAGTAATGAATTTTGATCTAGAGATTACAAGCCTTTGGCAATGAGTAACATCAACACTTCTTAATGTCAACAAAACTGTCTTCATCCTATCTGTGTTTCAGCAGATTCTGACTTCACAGAATGCTATCTGCAGAAGGAGTTTTTAGAACTTCATGACATAAAACGAAACAAAAAGAAAACATATTCGTGCCCTGTCACTTGCAGTCAGATTGACAATTACCATATAATTAATGAAATAAAAGTGAATTTAATTCTACCATAATGAGCTGTCAGCCTAGCAGAGGAAATCACTGTCAACTTTCTGTGACACAGTAAACCTTCATTCAGGAGTAAATTTCTTAGAATCATTATCTATTTTATATATAAATGCTTTGAATTTTACTGTCAAACCTGTTCATACATTAAACCTCGTGCAAACCAAAAACCTTATACAATAAACGGTTTCATCAACTATTTTTACAAACATTACTTGTAAACTTTGGCAGTAGAAGTCCCTACAGGTGTTCATTCAGGGACAGTTTTATTACGTTCATGTGGATTGAGAAAGACTTTAAAATTTCTTCTATTTGCTTTAAACCAAAATAAATATTGTATATGATCCACTGCAGTGATATTTCTGTCACAGACCTCCAGAAAAAAAAACCCCACCAGCATAACTCTCCCAGGCAGTGGTGCCCTGATATCCTCCCCCACTTTTTCAGATACCAGTGTTGTTTATATGTCCATATGAATGACTGCAGACATCAATATATACTTCCTCTCCCATTACTGTGATGATGTTGTTTTTATCCTTTAATCATTGCAACCTTTCTTTTAATAACTATTTATCAATTCATTTGGCCAAGAATTCTTAGATCTTATCCTTATGGTTCATTCCTATAGGATCAAAGCCCCTCGGAGAGAGGACCCATCCCCTCTGGTAATACTGCACATACACTCACAAATTGGCCGCAATTTTGTCATTGAATATGTAATATGACAACACAGAGACAAAAGTATATATTTTACGATATTGTTCCCCAATTGATATACAATATTACAGAGGTTGTGTTGAGTTACTTTTGACATTGTTAGTGTGTCTTTTTCCCCTTAATACATGACAATGATGTCGATATGCCATTCCATCAGGTCCTAAACACACAAAAACTATGTCCTGTGTTATAGACTTACATACAACTCTCCCGTACAGAGATCAAACGAAAAAGGAATGTGTCTGATTTATGTACGAGCCTAAAACTTATCATCATCTGCCTGTGTATGTATCAACGATCACACCACATCAATACA